ATGGCATTATGGCTATGGTTACAATAAATGAATGCATTTGTTTTAAAACAGAAATAAAAATGTGTTCTAATCCTCTCATGATCCACTGCTGACTTCTTAGAAACATTCAAGTAAAACTAATGTGAACCAAGTTTGAACAATATTACGAAAACACACATTTTTCTTGTTAAAAAAAAATCCATGTTTCTTACAATATATTTAGTGTTTCAGACATTCATCTTAACATGGTGCAGGAAGGCAAAGATGATCCATCAGATGAGCATGCAGATGCAGATCTTTATTCAGGTAGCTTGTAGCAGCTCTTTACAGTGTTGATAATTCTCACGATGTTTAGTTTAGCATCAATGCCTCTTCTTCAGACTCTTGGAGAGTACAGACGCTTTTTTCTCCTCTCCCTCCCTCCTCCTCCCAAGGCCCTCCTGTCTGCCTGTGCACTGTGCTTTCAGCATTTTTTCTGGAAACTGGAAATTATTAAACATGGAGCTGGTCAGTTGGTCTCTCAGCGCAATTGACAATTTTTTTTCAAAAATGAGAATGAGAGAAGGGGCTCCCGGATGCCCCTCTGGGACAGAGCCAGCTGGGTATATCATGGACTCCTGGAAACAGTGGAACCTGATCTGCCTCTCTCAACTGTCTGTAGATGATTCTGAAGATGTCTGGATATTCGTCGTTTTGGTGTATTAATAATAATATTGGCTTAATCCTGGAGCTCAGGGATGGAATGCATCATGCTGTGAACTCACAAACTCATATAATTGTCGAGATGAGTTGTAAGCTTGGAACTTTGGCTGAGATTCAGGCTCTGGCACAGAAGGTGGATTCGATCAAGGAGAGAGTTGACAGATCAGCATGGATTGGAATAGATTGATTACGCCATTATTGGATCTAGAGGGGTTGTAGACCAACAGAACTCTAAGGCAGAGAGGAAATTATCTGTCTGTCCCCAAAACAATTCTTATCTGAATCTGGTGCCCTTGGAGCCTGTGAGGCTGAAGTGAAAACTCCCCCCTCAGAAGAAATGTGGAATGCTGCCGTCGCTATGGAAACCCTTTCTCCCTATCCCAGCCTGGGCGGGACTGTGATCGGTGAAGGCCGTGGAACCGTATCTAGGAGTCACTGTGCCCTTTATCTCCCTCCCCAGTCCAAACGGAGGTGTTGAGCGCTGCTCCATGCGGCTGCACGCACTGAAGTGAGGAGAGTCCCAACCCTACCTCCCCACCTAGTGGACACTTATGTTGTGTATCATCTGAAGTCTGTGTGCATATCTGTCTGAGGTGTTTTTTTTTTGCATAGTAAAGCTGCTCTCTCTCTGTTGAGGGTAACTGAAGTGCCTTTTTCCCCTCCCCCTGGCTCTATCCTCATATAAACCCTCTTGATCTATAATGGTAGCGCGACTCGTGTAACGAATGACCACAGTAACCAATTCTTGTCATGTGTCTATGTATGTATGTCTGATCTCAGAATTGTGTGTACTGAAACAACAATTGAATTTCCCTCTGGGATTAATAAAGTATTTTTGAATTTGAATTGAATTGAATATGAACTGTTTTGAAAACAGTTCTTAAAACAATAAATAGTAGGGATGCACAGATCAGTATCGGTGCAGATACCCATACCAGTATCGATATCGATAAAAGTTAACCGATACCAGGAACCGATACCAATGCAGTTGCTTAAAAGTGGCTTCACTGTAACTTGTCATTTCTGTTCACTTAATATTTTAGTTAACTGACAATTTCTATTCATATATTTTACTTTTTATCTACCTCACAGTCTTTTCCTGTTGAAAGCAGAGAAGGAAATAAAACTTGCATTAGCAGGTAGCATTTCGTTGTGTGGTAGAAGTATCGGTAATCGGTATTAACGAGTACTCAGATCCCAGTATCGGTATCAAATCGGTTTGGAAAAAAGTGACATAGTTGCATCATTAATAAACAGAGTAAATAAAGGCAAGTTGTGTCTGCTTATGGATTTCTACTGAGGCTTATGGCAGCAGAAATATAGCAAAAATGACTGATATTTCTAGCAGCTCAGAACAAGAGTCCATTTTTTTCTCTTGGCTTACTTATTGGAGCTGTGTGTGGAACTTAGAAGGGAGTCTTAAATCATTTTATTGGGTTATAAAAGCATGTGTATTGCACGCTGGTCATGGAAACGACAGGTAGTGTGTTCAGCATGTTTACGATGGAAATGCTTCACATTAACTTCAGTTCAATACCTGACCTAGAGGTCGCTGCACAGAAACTGATACAGCTGCAGGAATGTCAGTAGAAGAAGAGTTTACCGGGTTAGGGTCATCTTCACCCCCAAACATAACTGAAAGTCTCAATTCATTCACGTCTGGCAGACCATAAATTCACAACAGTGCTGTTTTTCTTGGACATGGTGGTAGATTACCGTATCACTATCCAACCCTGCTTTAAACAATGTCATGTGATGGAATATTCTCAGCATTCCATTTTTATGAGCAGAATCCTGGAATATTCCAGAATGATTTCATTGTGTGGGAATGCATGTATGATGCATTCCCACACATTTCTTATATGATCTCTTATAGATGATGTTTAGATAACTTAGGATAACATAAACAGACCCCAAATAAAGTCTAAGTTACACATTTGCTTCTTTTTAAAGACAGAACATCAGCATGAATAGACTTAATAAGGAATGGAATCATCAATACTTGGCAGATCTTCCCTAGTCATCATAATACGGTCTGTGAATAATTGCTCTCCCAATCCCTCTAACAATATCCTGTGTTGCTCAGATCCAGTCTGGCAGCTGCAAATAATATTCAGTCTAGAAAAAGCCCAAACACACCAGCAAACACAATCACTATCATTAGGTTGTTCAGCCGGTGTGTGAGTAACGGTTTAAGC